CTCCCTTTCCACCTACCAAACCTGTCACCAGCTTTGGTGACAGGTTTGGTAGGTGGAAAGGGAGAATGCCTCATGGGCATATTTGCTTCCTGGGAGAATATGGGAAATAGACCCTTTCCTGAGCCTTGTGCTCCATGCAGCTCACACACTTGTTCTCAGTTTAAAATGTACCATATCCCAAAGAGCTGCAAAAATTAGCAAGGGGAAAGAAGGGGTCGGGGGAGGGGAATAAGAGTAGTGCGGAAAAGGTGAGGTAGTCAGAAAGTGGCAAAAGACGATTTTCTGTAGGCAATTAACATTTTTGCATGATTCAGTATGAGTAAATGAGCGCTTGGGTCCTAGTCACATAATACAAAGAATTTAAAGAAGGTCTCCAACTGTTAAAGCTTATTCTTGGGGTCTGCTTCGTGGCACTGAGGGTGAGAAACTGCTTTACCATGGACTTCTGTAGCAACTCTCAGCTGTGTGTAGCCTTGAGATGTGCAATGGTAGAACTGCATAAATCAACCAGTTTGATGGTTTGGGGCTAAAAAGGTGCAAAAGAATCACTGTCTTGTATCCTTCAGAAAAAAAATATCCACCGCCTTTTATTCTTTTGTCATTGAACAGAATGGGCCACGAGTGAAAAAATCTAAGGAATGAGGCCATCAGTTCACAACAACAGTGGGGGGGGATGTGTGCCTTTGTAATGTTCCAGTGGCTGAGCCTAATGATAAAAAACAACCAACTCACCTTTGAATCCCTCCAGCATTTAAAAGCATCTCCTTTATTCTTCCCCTCCTATAAGAACAGCTCCAACACAATGCAATTGTGTACCCCAAGTAGGCTGCTCTCATTTTGTCAGAGGTGTTGCATAGGATATAGCAGGCATTCACAGCTGCTGAAGTAAGATTTGGAACTCATCCTTACATTTAGGTATGTGTCTTATTACTGGGTCACAGGGAGAGGTAATAACTAGGTTGTATGTGGTAGATGGAGCACCTAGATAGTAGTTACTGCTTTGGCAAATGGAAATCTGTTTTATCAAAGAGAAACAGTTTCAACAAAGTAAGATATCTCAATGTGAGTCTCATCCTTTCACCTGAAAATTCAATAAAAATTGTTTAGAAACTGCTCAGTATTTCTGGTTAAAAAGCTTCTCAGATACCTTCCTCTGGGCTTATCTTCCTTTAACCATACCGCTTTCCAATGTTGCTGTCAATAAAGTGTCCTAAAGATAGCCAGACAGCTCTATTTATGTTTGACAAAGGTCCTCTTTTTAATTACATGGTTCCTATTATTCATTTTGCATGGTGATGAACAGTAAAAGTTTGAAGTGGTGTGTTCAAAATGTTGCAACATCAGGAACAGGCAAAAATGAGCTTCCTGTGAATGTTGTACTAATATCAGACATCTGCTCCCCGGAACCCCACTGTGATTTACATAGAATCACAAAGCCATGTCAAACCTGGCCTTGAGCACTTCCAGGGATTGGGCATCCACTACTTCTCTGGGCAACCTGCTCTGGTGTTTCAACATCCTCCTTGTAAAAAATTTCTTCCCCATATCCAACCTAAATCTACCCTCTCCAATTTAAAAATATTGCCACTTGTCCTGTCACTAAAGGTCCTTGTAAAATGTTTTTTCTCTGTCTGTCTTATAAGACTCCTTCATAAATCAAAAGGCTGCAGTAAGGTCCTGACAGTGACATTCCTACTATAGGTTGAACAACCCCAGTTTTCTTAGTTTTTCTTCATAGGACAGGTGTTCCTGCCCTCTGACCATTTTTCTGTGATCCTTCTCTGGATCTGTTCTAACAGGTCCATAAGGGGTGTTGCTGCATGCTACTACCCTCAGAGGTTGCTCTGAGATTCTTCCTTCTTTCTATCTTCCTTTGAAAACCATTGTCTCCAAGTGTCCCATGTTCTCCCCTGAGCCTTTCCTCCTATGCAAAATATTCAGCACATACAGCTTAGTACTGCTTTCCCAGCTCAGTACTGCTTTCCCAGGTCTGCAGCCACAGGCTTCCAGGGGCACTGGGATGCCAGAGGCTTCCATCCTCCGTTGTCACCAGCCACTCTACCCTCCAGGTCTTGTGATGTGATGGTAGCTGTGCAGCTGTTTAGTCCCATACCTCCTTTCCCCCTTGTCACCCTAGGAGACTGAATCTGTCCTGCCAGTCATGAAATCACGGAATTCAAGATGGCCAATGGCTCACCAGGCATGCCAGGATTCTGTTCATAAAAATGCTTTACTATTCAACCTGTTCTTTTAAATGTTAGAGGAAAGCAATAGAGCAATTACTATACGCACTAAAACACAGGAATGACATTTGATCTGCTTGTGCATGAACAGAATTAGTCAGGACATGAATAATAGCACTTCTAAGCTACAGCCCAACTTCCAGAAAAACAAACTAGTCTGGATTTCACAATTGTCATTGATCGAGAACCCAGCACAAACAGGTTTTCAGTGGACATGTATTCCATTATTTATTAGATGAACTTGTCTAGATACAGCTTCCAGCACCAATAAACCTTTCATTTACAAGATCTCTGCTGGTTTGCACTTGTCTGTGCAGATATTTAGACTGTGATTCAATTACCTTATAACCACTCCTTTTTTTCAGCTATGAAATTTGAAATACTTCAGTTTTCACTCAATTTTCCTGTTTTCTCATCCATTTTAATCTTCTCAAACTTTATGCAGTCAGTTTCCTTCTTTGACTTCACATACCAGTCCGTAGCTGAATATTCCAGGAGCAGTTGCGGCAGAGAGCTCCCACAAGACAGGAAGTTTTCTGGACACTGTGTTGGAGATCAGCCCACTGGACTTTTTCCTCCTTTAGGTGTTCTCAGGTCTCACAGTGCTGTTATTATAACCTGCAGCAGGTATCACCTATTAGCTGAGCACAATTATTCAGGTTGCTATTTTTTTCTGTGACATATACCCCATCAGCTCAGTCTGCTGGTAAGTGTCATACCCCCAGCAGTTTATGCACAGTGTTTCCCCAAATTTTCTCTGCAGTAAGCAAGCTGGAATGACTGCTGGAATGACTGCTCATCTGTGAATAAGGGTGGCAGATTATCAGCTTAGTCTTTGCACAGGATTCTTAAACAAATTACTCTTTACTTAGACATCGGGGGCAATATACTGATTGAAGCAAAGATTTCCTCTGTTTACCTTCATTTCCTTTTCTCAGGCCAGAGATCTGCTGTCTGTTCAAAATGGAAAGAAAAGGATAAACCAAGTCACACTTGGAGGTAGGGCAACAACCCTAATAGCCAGAGGAGAAGACTATTATATGTCTTGTGTACATAGAATATTTGACTCAGCCTTGAATTCCTGCAAGGAAAGAAGGGAAAATGGTCTAGATGAAACGTCTATGAAGTGACTGCAAAAGTGTTTGGAAAATTTTATACACAAAGTCAGTATCAGTTTTTCCCTTCCAGAGGAGGAGGAGGTATTGACTGCTGTTCTGCAGAAGGTCTGCTCAGCACCTGACACTCTAATCAATGGAGTAATTGAGTGGAGACCACATTTTTCATTTTGCAGGTGATATCAAGCTTGGAGGGACTGCAAGGCTTATGAGTGAACTGGCTCAGGCTTCAGAGTGGTCCTGATACATGTGTGAAAACCATCTGACCTTTCCATTCTATGCCAATTCAGTTCAACAGAGGCAGGCACATTTGACTGAGAACAAATAAAGGAAGGGAGATGAATGATTTGGCAGCAGTTCTGCAAAGCGATCTAAAAATCACGGGGGATGAGAAGAAGAACATGAATCAGCATTGTGCGAAAAAGGTAAACATCATATGGAGATGTATAAATAGGAGTGTTAAATATAGGCCAGTTAAAACAGTCCCCCTGCTCCACTTGGCACTTTAGAGGACTTAGCTGGCATAAAGCAGTTCCTGACTTTGTAATTGCAAAAACATTCAAGGACTTTGATGTTTGTTTGTTTGTTTGGTTTTTTAAATCAATAGAGAAGAAAACTGAAATTATAATACAAAATTAATGGAATTAAGCAAGATGAAAGGAGTTAATTCTTCATGCATGTCCTAATGATAAGGGTAGTGAACACTGGCAGGTAACACTGGCCATGAGGTTATGAATCTCTGTTATTAGATGTTTTTAAAAATAGGATGGACAAACTGATGTTAGGACTCTAGCTTATAGAGAAGGTGATCCTACCTTTTGGCAAGGGGATGGACTTCAGGGAGCACACACACCTTCCAGAGCCTTCCCAGCTGTACCTCAGTCTTTCTCTGATTTGGCAGGAGTTTAATGACATGATGCTGGAAACTGAGACATGTGGCCAGGAAACAGTAGCCAGAGACCTAGGTTGTTGTCAGCACCTCTGTACTGGCCAGAAGGTGACAAGGAGATGTGGGAAACATGAAAATTATTGCATTTGGCCTTATTTTCTTATAAAAAAAGAAAAATCATAAAGATATGCCAGCTTGAAAATAAATTGCATGACACATATTGTCTTTTATACTGCATCAGTATTGATGTAAAAACGGACACATGCTAATATCAAGATATTTTCTTCTAGGGCTTGATCTTAAATAGCTTTAGAACTCATTCAACAACAGATTGTCAAGATAAAAATTTAGCAACTCTCCAAATGCCACTTGCATTTCATAGCATGTAGAAAACAGTCTAACTCTTCCCAAACCACAGTGTGTTCATATGCAGATTCACTTTTGTGCAAGGCCAGCAAGAAAAACACAAGTTCTCTTTACCCAGCCTGAGCAAAAGAAAAATGAATTTGACAGCTGGCCTTAAACACTTTCTCCTTGATGATTCAAAGAAAATGGAATCCATCTAAAGCTGTTGATTAATTCTTCAAATACAGATGGAGAGCAATACCTTGAGAATTTAACCCTTAAAAGTATAATAAATGAATGCATAGGGGTGGTGGAAGGGCTTTCTTTTACAAGGTTTTCAAACAGCCCTTTTCAAGGAATATAATACCTATTTTGTATTACAGGAGGCCTTTATCTCTACAGCTCATGAAATGTAAGAGAAAAGCTTTATAGATTCTCATAAAAGTGATGCGTATTACACACAGTCTAGACTTTGAGGAGTTATGGATCCAAGCCAAACAATCTCTTTCTTTTCATACAGTCCAAATAATTATCAGAGGCAAGAAGCTAGTCAATGGATAAAGTATTAGTTCAGATAAAGTATCTTCTAAAATACATTTTAGTAGAATTTTGAAAAAATAGCAATACCCATGGATTGCAAGGCATATTTCTAGAAATATTTCATCAAATAATTAAAATGTGTTTCAATGTATTTGGGGCTTTTTAACATTTAGGTTATCTCTTCAGGGCTGGTTTCAGTACATAGGAAGTTTTTACTGTTGCTATCAATAATACGGGTTGTAGAGTTAACCAGACTAAAAGTTTAAGAATTCCTCCGGGAGAACTGAGGGTTTTATCATGACTGAACTAAAATCTGCCTCTAATTTAAAAATATTACAATAGATTTGGTGAATACAGTCTATCTTTATGTGTTTATATGTACCTTTAAGAGAGAGGACAGTAATAAGAATTTCATTGAACACCCATATGTACACATTCAGTGTGCTATAAAATATCTGATTAAATCTAATTAAAGGAGAACACTGCATTTAGAAAATCCCTCTTCCACCTCTTCTGAAACTGGCACATTTTCATTAAAATGAATGCCATAGAAATGTACAATTTGTAGGAACTAATTTATCTTCCTTTTTTTTTTTTATTTCTTGCAAAGTCATAGGAGGCTTTTAAAAGTCATTTCCTCCACAGAAAATAGGAAATAAAATACAGTAACTTTTATTGCATCTGGAGAATATAGTTTCCCCTATTGTGCCATTCAGTGGTAGTTACATGATTCTTCTAGACATGCTGTCATAAAAAAACCAAACAATTTTGAAGGATGAAAAGAGAAATTTCAGGAATATGTTTCTCAGGTTGTCCACACCAAAGATTGCAACACAAAAACCCAATCTTTTTTTGAGCCATCATTTCTAATATCATGGTAGTAGAATGAATTAGCAATGGAAAGAAGCAAATCAAATATATTCTTACCAGGCAGGGCACACTGTGAATGCAAATGAGATCGTATATAATCCCAGCTCCTTCCATTTGGTGAAATATTGCTTTAGAACTCTTTCAGAATATAAAGTACAGAGAAGCAAATATAGCATACAGATGCCCTCTAAGCAGAGAAATCTTATTTTCCTTTTAAAACAGGGATTTTAATCAGCAGTGATTAATCCCCAGATAGAAATGCAATTGATAGTCACATTCCAGTAATTAAAATAGTAGCTTAGACTACAGTTTTAGTCACTGTTCAGTAGAGAACAAGAAGTGTCCCAGAGGAAGCTGCTGCTGGACACATCCTATACCAATGCACTGGGCAGGATATTGTGGGACACCTGTACAGGACTAGCAGGTGAGCCGAGCTTGAGGTTTGGTTCCAGTGTTCCAGTTCATCCCATTTAGCAAATGACACAGGATGAAATCCCGATTTCAACTCTATGTCAACTAAGAGGTCATCTACACCTTACAAATGTAAGACAAGGCAAAGCACAAGTGGTTTCAAAAAACAACACCAGCCCCCATGCTCCAGTCCCAGCAGCTAAAAATCAGCTGGCTTCACCTGACATGATCTCCTGCCTCTTTGACCGTAATTAGTTGTTGAGTTTACATGAGTGATGAAGACCCTGGGGTGAAGTACATTCCTGGGCCAAGGCTCAGGACAAGAATTGTGTATCATTTAACTCCCTCTTCTAAGTAGTGAGAATTAGAAATCCATAATCTGTGTTTTAACTTGGTGAAGGTGTGCATTTCATTCATTCAGAATTCATAAAGAAAAAACGCCAGTTAAAAATAGTCAGAAGACTGATGTCTGTTTGATAAAAGGGGATGGTAAGAATAGAAAAATGTTATTCTTTACACTGAATCTTAAAGGCTTTGTATAAAGAATAAAAATAAATTGATAAGAGGCTAGTTAATGATTAATGAATACTGTAAACATGTTACATGGCTACAGAAAATCAGTATATTGTATTCTGGGAGACAGCAAACAATGTTTTCAAAGCAACATATCAGGCCTCATGTTAGAATTTTGATTCTAAAGTAATAATTCTAATCTACTTAAAGCCATTTGTGATTGGATTTTTAATATAAAATACGACCAGAAAAAAGATTAACGGCATTATCTCTGACTATATCTGGTACAAACAACATAAAATGTCTGAGAACAACATTCATGTATAAGGAAATGAAAGTTGGACAGGAAATATTTGAAAAGTGTTCTTGTTTTGCTTCAGAATGAATGAAGGACCTCCTACCTGAGACAGAAACAAAGCAGACAAAAGAATTTTAGATATTGCAGTAGGGAAGGGCTTTCAGCTAGCATCAGTATGAAGACATTAATTTGAAGGTCAGGTGTTCCCACAATAGAAAGTACAAAAATTACATTTCTCATGACAGTTTGTAATGGGGAACAAAGCATTAAATTGGCAGATGTTCATTTATGGCAGTACAATTGCAAAAGCTACTTTTGTGGCACAGAAAGAAACTGTGGGTGACTCTTCTCCACCAGGTATGAGACTTCATTTTTTGTTATAAATTCCATGACAGATTTTGTACTTAATATCTGACTGGCTATATGTGTTTTTCAAGGGGGATGGTTACATTGCAAATGGATAGATGACAATTCAAAGTACGTGACTTCCAGCTTGTTATACCCATTGCATAAGGCACATTGATACTTAGATTATGCTATCTACTCTTGTGCCTGGTTATACAAGATAACACAGTTGTTAAGCAAGTCACAATTATTATCTTTGTACAACATGTTCTTTTATTGCAATGGCATGCTCACTTAGCAATTCTGGATACCTGGAGAAAATCTGGAATGCCTGCACTCCCGTCAAGAGATAAGATATGTGGAGGCAAAAACCTCAGCCTCCTACACCTCACATAGTGTTTCTCTAGTGTGTGTCTGTGCTTTCATGGTCAATCACTCCCTTGGAAAGATGAAATACTTTTTCCTTCTTGAGTTCCTTCTCCTTTTGTAGTCCTTTATATCTCTGGTATACCACGTTCTGAGGATGTCTGCTGCCAAATGCTTTTTCCATGTCTGGTTGCAGTCACAAGATGTAATCAGCACTCAAATGGGACAAGGCAGATCAGTGTTTGAATCTTTGCTGTTTTCTGACCAGAGAGAGAGATAACAACACGATCTTTGGTTTCTTTTCTTGTATTTTGGTGTTATTGTCAAACTGCATCTGTGGCAACGGTACTGCACGTGTGAGTTATGACCACTGAGCTGCATAGCAAAACCTCATTTTCTCACTCTCTTGCTTCTAGATGAAAAACAACTCACCCCAGTCCAGCTGGGTGAAAGAAGTACTTTCCTTGATGGTAAAAAAAAGATCTTCAAGTCTTCAGGCAGAGCCATGCACATCCAGAAACCTCAGTCTTCAAGTCCCACAGCCAGATAAACGAGCAAAGCCAGAAGGCTGTTATGACTTAGGCTTCTCTAGTTCTTTGATTTTTTGATATGAAAATTCCATCCGTATCAAAGCTGGTATGTACATTTCCATAAAAAAGCTGTGGTTTTGATAAAGCTTCATTTTCTAACCAAAAATAGTTTCTGTTGGAAAATTCCCAACATATCATATAAAATACTACTTGGATGACACACTCACTAAGATAATATCACCTTCATAACAACTTAGGGTTTAATACACATTTACCAGCAAAAAAGGCTAATCTTCAAAAATTTTCATCAATCGTTTAAAGAACATTGTGCCTCATCCATGTGAACTTTTTCTTCATATAGTCTTCTGAACTCAGATATTTCATGAGATCCTTTCTTTAGCATCATTAGGGTCTTGAGCTCTGGAGACAAATCCCTGTTGGAAGACACTGATAACCATCGCAACAACTTGTATTACTGTAGTGCTTTTAATCCCTTCCCAAAGCTTCACATTCACATTGATGACATCTTCACTTTCCCTTCTTCCCTGAGAGTGCCAAGAAAAACTTTTATTCAAGGTAAAAGTCAAGATGGTTATAGATTAGGGATTTTAAAGAAGCAATTAAATAGTACTAATTACAGACAGTATGCTAGCAGATCAAGTATTGTCAAGTTTGGGGTACTTAAAAAAAATTCTTTCCTGTGATCAAATCTGTAGGTAAACTTTGCCAGTCCAATGCATGGGAATAAAAAAACCTAGTGCTCTGCTGTATAATGGTAATCTAATGTTATCACCATTTAGCACCAGTTTTATCACCAGTGTTTAGAAATATGTCATGCATGTGTGTACACATCGAATTTCTACTCTTTCTTGTT